CGATTATTAATAGACATCTTTAAGGCTAAAAATATTCTAAAAGCGAGATAGTTGTTAGTTTTATAATTAATAGTTTCCAATTTCAAGCTGCCAAACAGAGTCTGATAATTTTGAAGGATGGATTAGGCTTTTAAAGGCGGTGACACACTATCGATCTTTTCCCCGATCAAGACCCCGAACCGAGCAGGGAGAAGGGAGAAGGGAGATAAATATCAGCAAAATTTTACTCCGAACATTTCCCCGAACATGACCAAGACCAGACGAATTCTACCGAGCGCGGCAAAAGGAAGTTTGGAGAGAGATAGAGAGTGTGTGCGAGTGAGAGCGCGGAGGCAGTGCCGTGGAAGAGGCAAAAATATTGTTAAAAGTCGCATTTTGAAAAATTGTCGCAAAAATAAAATATTCTAGAAAGGATGCTTTGTTATATCTATTGATTTCTATTGGTTTTATTCATTGAAATAACGTTACAGAATGATCATTTTAATTGCCTTTAATAATATTAATGTTTATATTATTTTTGAAAGAATTTAAGTCAACATCAATTACTTAATTCAACCTTAATATTATTGATATAATTGATTTAACGTTTTCTACACTTTCAACCTTGACCAAACAAACCACAAACATTACATCTTAAATGATTATAATATATAACGGCAACATATTACCCAACATTTATTTATTTTACCAATTAAAGAGTTTAATTGCCATATTAAATCAGAACTATCAATGCTAGCGCAGGCGGCCGCTCGGTGCGGCGCTCGCGACGATGTACGGGGCAAAAATGTACCGTGACACACTATCGTACATCGGACCGTACATCGGACCGATCTTTTCTTTGATCTTTCGCCAAAAAACCGCCTCCAGAGCGCTCGTCTCCCTGCTCGGCCTGATGTCTTGTTCGGCGTCTTGATCGGTGTACGGACCCGTGACACACTATCGAACATCCTCCCTTCGACCTCCCTTCTCCCTTCTCCCTGCTCGGTTCGGGGTCTTGTTCGGGGAAAAGATCGATAGTGTGTCACCGTCTTAACCCGTCCACTCTTCGTCTCTATTAAACTTTAAGGGGTGGTGGCAAAATTAAAGGAAGCATTTATTATTAGTTTTTTTTTATTATGAAAATTAAGTAAATAAATACAAGAGTAAATAAATATTTTTCAACGTCTTCATTTGTAGGTCACAAAGTTGAATATTTTTTTCTAAAACTGCAATTTGAACTAGAGTATATAACTGTGAATGATACTGGTTTTTTTAGTATCTATTCTAAATGTCTTGAGTAATTAAAAATTATCGCAGAACTCCACGTGTATTGTTTTGGTTTTTAAAGGATTATTGAAATTTTTTTGAACATTGAATGTACATTCTGTTTGTTTCCATATTTATTTACTTTTCAAAGCCAGAAACGTCAGGTAAGACCCTGAAGTCAAAATATAAAAACGACAATTTGCTTCGCACAGTTAACCAAAGAATTCCAGTTTGATTTCGCCATTAGTTTTTGATCAATAGAAGGATTTACAGACACAGGTATATCATATGTTGACGATCAACGTAATAATAATATTGCTGACCCAACGCATGTTATAATAACATGCATTGATTGCTAACATATTACTGATAAATATGTTAACCATAGGACCATAGCTCACTTACAATAATAGTTTTAATTAATCATATAGGCAAATGGTTGCATAAACAATTGACACGAGTTTCAATATTTCAAATTACTACAATGACAAGTGTGTGATTGATGTGGCCAACAATAACATCTGTCCAGTGGTCGAAGTGGCTATCTAAACTGTAGCCATTCAATTACCTAGTTAATTAACTAATTAATCTAGCTCCTACACATTTAGTTGTTTTTTTGTTTTAAACCTGTCTGGTCATTAATAGAATAATAAATTTATATTTGACATCTCATGTATGTTATCTTATTGTTAGACCTACTCTTAGCAGATAAAGAATGCATTTTAAATTTAAGTACTTATTCTTCTTTCACAAAACTTTGTTAGTTTTATTTTGTATGCACATTTGAGCACAATACTACTTTAGTACACTTAAATAAAGAATTGGCAATACAGGACTCAAATAAATATTTTTTTTAAATACAAAGTTGAAGCTTTCGTATTTAAAGTACGTTATTATTTGCTTTAACAGTAAATACATAGGAAAACTATCGATGGGAAAATACACTATGGGTTTTTTCAATACGTACATAAGTATTGACATAATTGTGCTGAAACTTGCTTTTTCGATTGTTCTTAGTTAATGAAGACTTATTCTCTGAAAATAAGTACCTATTAAGTGCATAGTAACATATTTTAAACTTTATCAACATAATAAAATACATTTTAAGTCTTAAAAAAATGTAATTTAGTTTTGAAAACGATAGTACATTTTTACCACTAAATCAATAACTAATTTTATTCAATGTGGTGTAAGGGGTTTAAGACAACAATTTAGGTATAGTAATATTCCCTTTATTAATGGTAAAATAGGTACAAACTTACATTTAAAGCCTTATATTTGGTCATAATAGAAAACTTAAACAAATAAGATCAAAAAACAATTTAATTAAGTATCATAAATTTAACAAGTTTACATTATATCGCATCCATTGTGTCAATTAATTGTAAATGTTAGTATTATATAATCTTATATAATATTATAGTATATAATCTGACGGTTAGAAACTGAATACATCCAAACTAATTGCGAATAAACTTTTGAACCCATCACTTCTGCTACTTTTAAAATGTCGATTCACTCTTGAAGATTGACACTTCAATGAAACTGTCAGTGATTTTTAAGCTTTCGACATTTTGACATCCTCACTTTTGAAGGGCTTTTAAGATACGGCGAAAATTTGGCAGAACAATCGATTGTTTTTGGCAATCAACATCAAATGAAAGAATATTGACAGATAAACAAACTTTGTTTATTTTATCGGTTAGGACATTTTATTGTACATTTACTTTCAAAAATACTTACTACGGATGATTCTTAATTGAATTTCCATCACGAGTCTAGTTTATTTATTTATAGGCTTTAGATAAATACCCCTGACTAACACCTCTAAAACTATGTTTGGTATTCTACTTATTTTTAACATAGCTGTTTTATTCAAATCCACGGATCCTGTACCATCTTATATAAAAGTAAATTATTTTTAATTATTCAAAACAGAAACCTCTTACAAGAGTATACGGCAAGGGTTTCCCACTTTCTTGAAACATTGAACTATGTAAATCTTTTAAAATCAAGACTTTTAATAGTAGTGATATAAAGTTTTAAAAATGTTTGATGTAAAGCCTAGATAACCAACATTCAATAACACTTCTTGCACATTAAGGAAACAAATGTTTAACATACATCTCTAAAAATGTTTTCTCCTAAGCCAAGTTTATATAACCTAATCCAAAGAACAGTTCCCCAAAGTTCTGTCAAAATATTTATTTTTCTACGAAAAGTTAAAGTGTTTAAGATTTGGTTGACTACACCTATGTTGTCAGAGGAATATCAACAATTTTTGTTGTTGTTTAGGCTGCTTTAGGGGCCGGATTCAGATATGGTATTTACAGATGGTAGCACCTAGTAACACCTTGTAAAATGAATTACTCGGAAAGTTGGCTCATGAACCTAAAATGGCGAAACAATAAGGTTGACTTATCACAAAACGTACGAAAACGACGTCAGTCAGTCAAAAGTACTTCTCTTTTGGTGTTTATTGTAAATTACTAAAATCTAACTTCATTTCGTTGTAAAACCGAAAAAAGAGGTTGTAAATATTTTTAATGTATGCCAACCGACAGATGCTCCAAAATACCATTATTGATAGGAGCTATACCTACTTTAAATGCTATAATAGTGTTAAGCCCTTTCAATTTTAATTTCATGACTTGTAAACTGTTAATTGATTGACAATTAATAATTTCCTATTTCACCTCATTTCAATTTTTTCATTTCCACGACAACGATGGACAACGACTGAAACGCGTGAAAGGTTGGGATTGGAATCAAAATAACTTGTTTGTGCAATCTATCTGTGTAATAATGCAGCAACTAGTTTCGACCTCAGACAGTAACCATGTTGTCTGACCTAATTTGTGTATTGATAGACACTTTTAATTAATCAAACACAAATTGCAGTTGATTTATTTACGAATTCTTTTTAAAATTATGTATCCAATAAAAGAGTGGAATTTTCTCGTGCATCACTAAGAGGTTCTCATTCTTATCAAAAGGCTCAGGATGGCTTCGTTTTCAAGTTCACTTACATTATCATATTATTCTATCATCTTTATCACGGACATTGCGAAAACTTAATACTCAGACACTCCTCATATGGAACAAACACATGTAAAAAAACATTATAAAACTGTGTGGTGATTATAAAATGTTAGGACGTCATGTGCGTGTAGCCAGTGAAATTTTGTATTGTGTGTGTGTTTTGTGTAAAAAGAATCTTTACACCTAAGACTGTTGAATGATTAACTGCCCATGACATTTCCGTGGACTTGAAAATAAAGACATCCTGATCTTCGGTACCTACCATGAAAGTTAGACTGCACGTTTACATTACTTGACGATTCACAAATTAATTTAACCTTTTTTTCTGAATAAACAAAGAAATTCCGGTGTTACCAAAAGATTGCTTTAGTCAAAGTTATTCTATCTTTGCTCCTACTAAAATTAAAAAAAATTGCAGTGCTTTAGCATTATCCTGTAATGAATTAGCCGAAATTACCTTTGAACCTAAGATACGTCGTTTAAGTTGTATAAGTTAGATTTCCTATAGTGTCTTACCGTCACACCTTAACATTGAAAGAGTTAACAAAATAAAAGTAATCAAATGCATCACAAAGTCACACAGTAGTGGAAAACATTTTAGGAAAGACTTTTTTCTCAACAATTCGACCAGATCGAAGATCACCCCTAGATTTAGACAAACGTAGGATAAGTTTACCTTCGAATTTGTTATCTGACCAAACTTTCTTTTCCAGATGGCTCCAACTTAAGTGAGTAGTTTTTATTCCCCAGTCTCCCCAATCCCCTACTTTCTTCTGCTTCCTATTTTAGATGTGTTCCGATGACTGTCTATGTTTGATCTTTTCCTCCTCTAGCCCGGCTTCGTAGGTTTTCCTGATTGGGTCGTTGTTGGTAAGAATAAATTGACAACATTAAAACTATTACAGTTAAAATAATGAATAAATATAAAAAAGTTATTAATAAGCTGTAAAAGAAGTTTTATTTAATGTTATGTGTTAATAACTAAGACTAAGTGTATAATCAATTATGACTGTTGTAAGCAATGAAACTTCCCTTATTATTATCTAATTATAAAATATAAACTTTAATACTGCATTCTTGGTTGAAAAAAATGAACATACTTAGGATAAAAAATAACCACTAACTATTTCTAACATTTGAAAGAGTAAGATATTTATTAATAGCCTAGTTGTTCAAGAACTGAATAAGAAGATAAATTTCATATTACATAATTACAGTTTTGCAGTTATTTGTTTGAATGATGTCTTAGTCATGACCAAATTGGATTGTATACGGTATATAGTTCAAAACCTAATAAAGTAAAAAAGAAATTATCAATACAATTTCATAACTGACGACTAATTTAGTAACGCTGAGTTAAGCTGAGTAAAGCAAATCTTCAACATCACTATAATCTACATTATCATTATAAATGAACTGATTGATTGAATTATAAATTCATACAAAATTTACGGTACTTTTACTTAAGTAAATAATTATAGCTTTGTAAAAAAATGATTTTGTTCAATATGAGTACTTTTGTTTTAAATGAAGCTTCTGATTCAAATAGATTTACATTAGAAAAATGTGATTACTTTTAAATCAAGGTAACTGGGTAAACACATTACTTTCTATTCAATAAAGTAAATATACTTTTCTGAGCTGTGGATTGATTCAGTAAAATTATAGACTGTTCGAGAGATCAAGAATATCCTAAAAAAATCAATAAGGAGTTCTTCTAAATGTGTTGTGAATTCCAGAACATCCACTAAAATGAAGACACAAACTGTATTCATTCGCAATAAAATGACTACCTAAATACTTGTAAATGCCTCCTTATTAACGGCTGAATCATACATAATAGAAAGTGTGAAACACAAATTATATATGTTATGACGTAAACTACAAATTCTAATACTGTAAACATAAACGCACTACTGCATTGTAAACAGAAAAACCTTTGAGTATTAATAATTTAGTGATAAGTTAACTTATTTTATAAGTGATTGATTAAATAAAAGTATGTAAATAACTATACTCTATGTAAAGAAATCTTCGCAGTAAAATAAGTTACCTGTTTGCATTCAGTTTCTTCATCTGCATAATCCACCCATATCACCCTGTAGTGTAGCTGCTTTTTCTGTTATTCCACGAAGCTTAGTAGTTATTTGTTTAGTTTTAGTTCATGTTTTTAGAAAAGATTATTCTGCTTCATTTAGCATAAGTAGTGTTCCATCATTTGATTTCAAACTAGCAAAATTTTACGTTGAGCAGTTATAACGGTCTGCTTTTTTGCCTGAATTTCAGAAATTACAAAGCATGAGATTTGTTTCACTCATTTACTTATAATGTAACTTAAATTTTTAGTTCGGTAAAATATTTTACATTGTTTAGTTTTACAAACACCTTACTCGACGAGTAAGGCCTTGTAGTCATTTTTTTTTTTCATTTCACTTTTTCACTTTCACAATCAAAGATTATTTGCATACTTTGTAGTCTATAAGGTCACTTAAGCACTAATTAAGCACTAATACACGAAAACTGTATTTTCTCCTCTTTCACATTCTTCATTTACTACGAATAGGTACATAACATTAGTAACACGATAATTTTTCTTCTAACGTGTCTTAGCACATTTCAAAGCCAAACTTATGTTAAAGGATTATTTATTAGAAGAAAACCAATAGCTACAATCTTTGTGTTACGATTGATTTGGTACTTTCTTAATTTTAAAGTTTACATTATGATTATCTAGCCTTTTCGCATAACGTAAATTTTATATTATTTTGGTCAAAAGATTGCTGTTGCAGCACTCAGTTTGTGTGTAACATTATTGATTATGCAGAGTTTCACACGGTTTCAAGTATCAATGTACTGCGTTTAGTCAGGATAACGTCGTGGTTAACAACTGCGCCAGTAGATAGCAGCACTAGTCGGACGAACTTGCAAATAAACAGAACTAGGTGTTTATAAAATAACAATAATAATTATGTAATACTTTTACCATTATATAATCGGACCAATCATGTAAAAATTTGTAGTGACAGTTTTGATAATTACTAATGTTCATGTTTATTTATTTAAATGTTAGATGTTTACATGTTTAAGTTATTTTTTTATCGAACTTAACTGTTTTGTACTTGTATCAAAAACGAAACAGATATCCTTAGAGAAATATTTTTGTTAACCCAATATTATATACAGTGTGTCCCGCGAATATGTTTAAACGTTTGATTTTACATTTCTTGCCCATTTTTTATAGACCGACATTTTTGAAACTTTACACAATTTATAAAGTAGGTTTTAAAGATATTCTGGGAAAATTTCAGTTCCCTAACCCTTGTAGAAACAAAATGGTGGCATATTGTTTACTTTTTATTAACTAATTACATTTAATTATTATTATTTATTAACTAGTGATGAATTTGCTCACAGTTTGAATAATTAGTTACTTTACTTTTAGGTTGTTCATTAGGTTATGTTCTAATTTCCTGATAAAACAGACTTATTTTCCTAGGATGTGATAATACAAATATTTTACAAAACCAAAAACACTATTTTTAATGAGTTTTAAGTATAATTAATCATTATGCCACCATTAGTAGGGAGCTGAAACTTTCCCAGAATGTATTTAAAACCGACTTTATAAATTGTGTAAAATTTTAAAATGTTCGGAGCATAAATGAGCAAGTAATATTACATCAAACGTTTAAACCCCTTCGTGTGACACCCTGTATATGAGGTGGTATATTTTGTGAAAAACATAAATTAAGTTGTTTGACTTTGAAAAATGGTTAAATTTCTCAGTTTTTTTATAAGTGATTTCTATACACTGTACTGTACTGCACTGCACTGTACTGTACTGTATATGGGACAATAATTATAGAACACCAATATCTTTAAGTATAATTTTAAATTTACTTTTTCCATTTAATGCCACTTTACTAAAACATTTTCATTATGCATTAAGGTATTAGTTCTACATGACTACAGTAACAACTTATGTTCTTTTTAACTACATAGCAATTGGTAAGTTTAGGTCAGATAATAATAATATCTGCCATAACATTTTACACTCATAATAGTATTCCATATTCGTAATTCATGTTTCATTTGTCATATTCCTTCATCGGTGTACTCTTAAAAGCTCTAAATCCACCAGGAGATAACCATATTTGTAAAATAACATTTGGTAATTTCTAACGTTCTAATTTGCAATAAATATCAGGTTTATAAGTTTCACCATCAGCATCATCATGGGTGGATAATGGATATAAACTGTGCAAACAGTGGTAAAAGTTTCAGAATAACCATCTACCAACCAAATCCTCTCACAATCATTTCAACACCCCCCTCTCCCCCCCACCACGTTGCTGCTGATCAATCGAAAACCGATACTTATGTGACACCAATTACAATTTGAGTTATTGGGCCTGCACGGAGTTTCTGTATTAATTCCATTCATTTATTTTCGAAGCGCTCACCTCACGACACAAAATCGTTACTGCATTTTTAAGAGAATCCATTACTTTTGATGGGTCTGCGTTATAATTGTTTTTATTAAACACTATTTTTAGATATACTGCATAACTTGACTTGCATTGATATTGAACCGTAGATGAAAATATGGAATGCACTAGCGGTTTTTCATATTTTCCTTATAAAGGTTGTGAGTTTTGTATACCTTAAAATGTGTTATCGCTTCAACATAAAAGACAATTATAATAAAATTAAGGGGTGAACTCTTAGTTCAGACACATAGACTACATAATAGATTATTGTGCATAATCATAGTTGTGATTAAATGGCATAACATGTATCATGTATATCCGGTTGTTTTATTTAAAGTGATGCTTTGGTTATGTTATAAATATCGTTTGATGTTAAAGTACAAGTATAAAAACCATTTTTGCAGTCTTATAAAAATTATGTATTTTATGTTAACATCAACACGACTGAAACAAAAGTGAAAATAATGTAATGTGAATGAAGACGTATGCTCGTAAAACCAAATAATATTATTTTGAAAAACGATATTAGTTGAACCAAAACAAATATCTATTAAGAGAATGAGAAACTACCCAATTATGTCCCTAAAATTTCTCAACGAGGATTTACTTTCAAATGTATCTGATTTTACATTAATTTTTTGAATGTATTCTGGTAGGTTACATTTTAGTATGTACAAGACAAATGCCCAAATAAAATTTTACCATTATTTAAAGATGAAATAATTGTTTTCTTTTAATAAATAATAGTCTGCGTTTTCATATTTATTCAAAAATTTGAATAGTTTCGTACTAAGCCAAATTCACGTGTGGGAGGGTTTACCCAGCATGACGTTATAATCTATTCAATACGCTACACTGCGTAAATAAGCTGTTAACAAAGTTGAACACTGTTACGTCATCAGCCTCCTTTATAACATAGTCCGAGTCCACTATATGGATCTGAACTGATAGTAAAGCTTGTATCATTAATCAGAGATTAAAATTGCATTTTAAAAATCAAAGATAAGACACACTGTTCTGGTTATACAGTTTGTGTCAATAGTCATGACGTCATTGTGTATGATGATGTAGTCTAGTCAGTGCACGTCGCTGAGCTGATTGTGTAGTTTGTGTCGTCAGTCATGACGTCATTATCTGTACGATGATGTAATCTAGTCAGTGCGCGTCGCTGAGCTGATTGAATAGTTTGTGTCGTCAGTCATGACGTCATTATCTGTACGATGATGTAATCTAGTCAG